AAAGTCTTTCTTCTCTTTCCATCTGAAGTCTTGGGCTGCATTGTCTCCTTCTGGCAAATTCCTCTCTTCCGCTCTGTCACTGGTGGTAGCCTAGATGGGGCCTTTGTGTGCATCAGAGAAAGATGCCCCCTCTGGACACACACAGCCCCACAGCCCAGTGGGAGGTGGCAAGTGCACGGCGTGAAGTAAAAGAGATTGAAATGATAAAAGGGTCCCAGCCCGGCTTGGGCTTGGAAGCAGAGCAGGGCCTGCACTTGAGCAGCCATGGCCTTCCCCCGGGCACCACTGAGCGGCCATGTCGGATCCCTGTGCCCTATTTCCCTGCCACTTCTTCTCCCAGGGAAGGAATCAGCTAGGCAGGGAGGCTATTTGGAATGGTGGCGAGCAATTTTATTTTATGTTATGACTTACGGAATATTGATACAACACATTTACTATAAAGAGCATTTGTTCCTGAAGGAAAGTCTATTGTACTTTGTAATGAGATATTTTGTATGATAGCACAAAAACTAAATAGTAATGATTGCAGCATAATTTCTTTTTTAATATACCCTGTTTCCCCCAAAATAAGACCTAGCCGGAAAGTAAGCCATAGCATGATTTTAGGTGCCAAAATATGGCACCTTGGCATACTGAATATTTTAATTGAAGGCGTTTGTGGAAAAGGCACCCTTCTCCCTGAAACAGGTCATAAAACCATCATGTGAGGGGTGCGTGCCTTCCATATCCTGGAGGAATCATGCTATGGCTTCTTCTCCGGATAGGTCTTATTTTTGGCGAAACATGGTCATAAGTTAAAGAAAAAACTTTTCCTGAGTTCCTTTTGCAGAAATCAATTTGTGAACGCCTGATGCACTAAATATTTATAGCCATATAACTCCCTAGGTAATTATCTAGAACAGGGAATTCTTATGTGTGCTCTTATTGGTTTCAGAACTTCAGTTCCTTGTCTTCTTTTCTTTTTTCTTAGATGCTGGTCTCAGAATATTTTGAATACACTACCCTGTCCCTGTCTCTTTTTTAAATATTGAGGGATTTACTTGCCAGGGCAAGTTTATTTTTAATGTAACTCCCCCCCACCACTACCCCACTACCCCTTTTATCCCCCCCACTGATGGTTGCCAGTTAACATGATGACTTGCTCTGCCCAGAGCCCACAAAGGCTGGACTCGAGGTAGCACATAATTGGCTGTCTTCCTTTCTCTTTGCTGGGTTCTTTCCCTCTTCCTCTCTGCCAAGCCCTGCCCTTTACAACCTGGCCCTCCCTTTCCTCACCACGAAAGCACACTGCCAGTTGAAACCATTCCAGGAAGTGAGGTGGCTTTCTGACGTGTTCCCCAGTTGAAGGAAGGCCTGACCTACGGCCTGGTGAGGCTGGATAGCAGGGTCTGTTTGGGCGGTTGCAGGTTTAATCACCAGCCCTTTAAACATCAGATAAATATAACTATGAATCACAGAGCTTATAAATGATTCAAAACAACTGTTAAAAAAAATCACTGCTTAGAGAGCAGCAGCCTAGGGTTTGGGCAAGAGAAAGTCAAGGATGATAAGGATATTCAGTATCTTTCTTTTAAGAGATAGAGGGATGCTCTTTGAACATTTTTTTACTGGTAAAAAGAAATTACAAACACCAGCTTACTGGGAAAAAAGTCCAAACAGCCCCAAAGTATATACAGTAACAAGTGAAAGTCCTCAGCT